AATATAAATACAAGTTTAACTAAAAGGTAACGATAAAAGAATTTTTAATACAATGGAAAACCAACCTAGAAATAGTACACCACCACCACCATACTCTGCTACACCTATTACTCATTTCTGGTCAAATCTCTCTTGACTATTAAATACTAACAATATCGCTAAATCTCATTAACCACCTAACCCTAATGATTATAGTTCATCTTCTGATTCAACCACTAGAAGCATTAGAAGTATTTAACAAATATATTCAAATATAGACAGATCTTTCTCACAAGTATCTCGACATCAATCATGCCAACCATCCACCATCCATTCCTTATCTCACCAGCCTTCCTTCACTTCTTAAAATGAACCTACTTCCTATCCTGAATCTATATATCATTCTAGATCACATCATATCGATTATAATTGATCAATATCTCTAGCTCAATGACCTTTTTCAAGATCACAATCATGAGAGAGATCACTAACACATGATAGATCATCCAATCAAAATTATACACATAGTCAAAGTAGTATATATATAAAAGCTTTTTTTTTAACATTTGTTGTTGATTTTTTTTTTTTGGAAAAATTTTTTTTTTTATTTATTTTTATTGTGTGCATTAAGCAAACTACAACTGCCCTGATCGCTCTGATCACTCTGATCACTCTGACCATACTGGCTGCCCTGACCATCATGACTACCATAACTGCCATCAGTATTATTAACAAGTTGATGAGCAAATGTTTGCCCAACTTAAGCATTTATATTTAATGCTCAAAAGACTTGAGGAAAGTACAAATGAAATTAAAGTCAGGCTAGGTCAGCTGGAAAGACATCAAGAAGAACAAGAGAATGATCTCTCTGTGCAAATGATAGATATAAGTATTTTGGGTTAGCAACAATTTAGATCTAGTATATTTAAGTAATATATAGTGTTTAGGATCTAGCGTGTTTAAGCAGTATATAGTGTCTAGTATATAATACATATATTGTTTTTTAAAAATATATATAGAACATGTTTACCTGTGTGGCCAAGCAGCTTTTCCCATATAACATATATCCTAGTCAAAGTGATTTGAAGGATGCACTTAAACAATGCCTTGAAGAAAGGTATCCTGAGTTTATGCATAGTTTAAGTTCAATCAATATACTAATAGGTTTTATGATGAATGATTCAGCCTTATATGTATTAATATCTATCGTTTTTTAAAATATATTTTTTTTAATTATGACTTATTTACTATTTTTAACAATAGCTTTTGCAAAAAATAAAGAACCTGCAAGGTGCATTAGTTCAAAACATAAGAGCAGCAGTTTGGCATGTGTTCAGTTGTGAAAGACTACCACTATTAAAAAAAAATGCTGCACCAGTTAATATAGTAAGTTGGAAGCAAAGTGAAGAAGTTTTGGATTGTTATTATGTGCTCTTTGAAATAAATAAGGAAGGTGTCTTTTGGGTATCAATAATTACAAGAGCAGCCTTTTCTGAGGTTGCTGTACTTACACTCTCAAATGAGCATTGCACTTTTATGCTTGCAATCTGTGATATTTTACTTAATCCCAAGTCCAAAAGTGTTACATATTCAGAAAAACATCTTATATATTGTATTGAAAGATATCTTGTAAGTGTCATTATTAATTGCATATGCTTTATTAATAGTAATTAATTAATTATTTTTAATATAGAATGATTTCGGTAATGGTAGTCCATTATATAAAACAATCAAATAGATACTAAACAATAAGAATCATGGTTCTTCATGACAAGCATCACCTTAATATGACCCATCGCCCCAGTATGAACCTGAAGCAGGTTCTTCATCATTTCAGCAATCATCTCAACATCAAACAGAACTTTTACAGAAGGATGCTAATGATTTATTTGGTTGTAATGATTAAATTTTTGCTTTAAATATATATTTTTAAATTAGTTTATATTTGCTAGCAGTTATTATGTAATAAATTATAATAAATTTTATTATTTGTATTATAATATGATTTACAGTTTTAGTAACAGTAATAAATTTATATTATGTATTGTAATTGGTTTTATAAATAATATGTTTTATAAATGGGTGTGGTGACCTAGTGAAGTGGTTAGGTTGTCAACTCCCAAGTGCAGTTCCAGAGTTCAAATTCTAGTGTCGACAGAAAATTTGAAAATTCTTTTTGTATTACAATTAACTGACTCTCTCAATTGGTTAAGATAAGACATCTGTAATCTATGTTGTACCAGCATGACTGGCAGGTCACATGGCATTTGTGTAACAGTTACATAACATTGTCCTTTGGGACAAGGTCTGTGGTTATACAAAGGAATGCAAACTGGTACCAGGTGGTGCAAACCTACAATAAGTTCTCATAGTCATGTAAATTATAGGAACCAATAGAAGAAAGATGAAAGCCCACTTGGAAGACCCAAGTAGAGAGGTAACCTGAGCTTTCAATGGTGCTACTGCAAAGACTAAACTTATGAAACAGAGCTAGAACTTGTGAAACCAGGCAAATGTGCCAGTCTTTGAGAAGAGACCAGATGAACCAACCAGGTTGCCAGAATTTCTGAATTTCAGAGAAAAAGGATACATGCTGGCAA